TGTACACAAACACCTTGAACATTGCTCCGAGCTTATTATCCATGAAGTATTTGTGAAATTCTTGCTAAGAGGAAAACTGTTAACTGTCCAAGTGGATAATTTTTCTTTTTCTCATTAAATTCTCCATATGGGTACAATTGTGCTACTTCAGAGGGCTAGATCTTTTAATTAGATCTGTAGGACATGATAAGTTACTCCTATTAATGTGCTAATATTGTGTTTTTAATTCAGTGCATCAAGTATTTATTGAGTACTTACCGTTAGGCCAACACTGTAGGTGCTAAAGAAAATGCAGAGATAGTAAATAGGAAAATTCGGGGGAGGGAGGATTGGGGACACCCACATCAAATAATCAAGGGACTCAACACAGTAGTCATTGGCAGCTAAATTAATATAACTAATCTATGCTATAATAGTGAAAAATTAGGAAGGACTGCTCTCTCTCATTTGCCTGTTATCTGGCTTCTTGAGGAGCCCCGGATATCCTTACCTGCCATTAATGAAGCCATCCTTGGGTCCCCTGGTGAAAGAATTCTCACATTAGCTGCTATAATTTCCTAAACAGCAGAAGCCACAGAGGAGGACAGAAAAAAATGATGCTGTGACCAAGAAAGGCACCACTTCTACTTCTGCACTACATGCAGGAACACTTTCTCTTTGTTGATTAGCAATCAAACTTGACTGGGATAACCTAAGCAGAATATGGAGAATTATGGATGAATGCTGGGTAAGCTCACAGTAAAATAAAGTAACACAGTGAAGCCTCAGGAAGTTTAAGGAATGCTAGTCCACAGGGCTAACTCAGCCCCAGCCAACTTTCCTTCTTGTGCAGGGAGTCTTAGCTTGTAGCCCTGTGCTACCACCTCAGAGGTCACAGCCTCTGAGGAATGACCTCTGAACTCAGGAATGGGACAGAGAAGCTCTCCAGAGGTGAAGCAGGATGTGGTTGCGAGACAGTGTACTCCCACCACAGGTATTTCCTACTGACGCCTTGGGTTCATCAGTGTGGAAGCCTTTTGGTGAGCTTTGCAAAAGCAATTTTGAGATTAAAAGTCAGCACTGGCTAGCTGAAGAGTGAATGAAAAATGAGGAAGAGGGAGTAGTCATTGTGAACTAACCATTTCTGAAGCCTGATGGATGGAACTGGAGAGATGGCTGAGTTATTAAGAGCACTGGCTGCTCTTGCAGAGAATTCATGTTCAGTTCCCAGCACCCACATGGATGCTAACAGCCGTCACTTTAGTTCCAAGGACTCTGACATTCTCTTCTGGCCTCCATGGGCATTGCATGGACGACATGTATGCAAAACATACATATAAGATAAAAATAAATGAATAAATAAATATTTAAAAAGAAATCTGGCCGGGTGTGGTGGTGTACATCTTTAATCCCTGCACTCAAAGGCAGAGGCAGGTGGATCTCTGTGAGTTCAAAGCCAGCCTGGTCTACATAGTTCCAGGCCAGCTGGGGCTACAGGAAGATTCTGTCTCAAAAAGACCCCTCCCTCCAAAAAAGAAGCACTGATTATTAGGAGAAAGAAAGAGGGTCATAGAAGATCAGGAAAAGAAATTGTTGTAGCCTTTCAAGTAGAAAAAATTGAATAAGGATATATATTATTGAAAAGCACCACTGGGGTAGGTAGGGGAGAGTAAACTATCAAAGGGATAAAAGAGCTATGTTGTAACAAGTTTCCTAAGTAGTGAGAGTGATAGAGTCCAGAGCATGGGCAAAGGGTTTGGCACTAGCTTGAAGTACTAGGAAGGTTTTTTGGAGTTACTTGCAGTGGACTTTGAAAGGTTGGTAGGAGTTGGGAGAGCAGAAAAGGTGAAAAGTCACTTCAGTGGGAGAATATGGTGAATTTAAGGAAACATGGGCTCACTGGTAAGGAGAATAAGGGGAACCCATCTGAGTTCAGAGGAGGGAGAGTACATGACGTGATCAGCTAGTTAACTGTGTTCCTCTGCATTGTGCCAGGTGGATGTGGGTAAGTTAGAAATGTAGGACTCAGAATTTAGATAGGAAGTCATAGTCTATAGATAAGGGCACAGGTCCTTTGGTATCTCTGGTACATTTGTTTCAGGATCCCTCCACTCCACCGATACAAAAATTTAACAATACAGAAGTCTCATGTGGGGTGGGGGGCTGGAAAGATGGCTTAGCAGTTACGGCTCTTGCAGAGGACCTGAGTTCAGTTCCCAGTGCCCACATTGGGAGGCTTATAACTTCCTGTAACTTCAGCTCCAAGGGATCTGATGCCTCTGGCCTCTGTGGGTTTCTGCACTCATGTGCACACACACACACACACACACACACACACACACATTAAAGAAATAATAAATCTTCAAAAGTCTTGTATAATGGCATAATGTTAGCATATACCTTAAATTAGCTATGGGTTATTTGTAATACTTAATACAATATAAATGCTATGTAAATACAGCCATACTTTGTTAAGGTAGAATATGCTATGGAGATGTAGAAAGATAATTTCATTATTATGTGAACATATGTAGGGTACTTTCACAAAGCTAGATGGTATAGCCTGTTACACATCTAAGTTCTATATTAGTCTATTCTCCCAGGTTATAAAACTTACTATATACCTGTCACAAACACTATAACAGTCATAACACGGTGATGTTTAAGTTTATAAACATATGTAAACATAGAAAAGATCAATAAAATATGAAGGAATAGGAATCTTTTAGCTCCATTACAGTGTTAGGGGACCACCATTATTTATGCGCTCTAATTAACTACAACATCTTTATGAAGTGGCTATAGCTGTTAATACCTGTATTTCTTTTTGAGGTTTTTGTTTGGTGGAACAGGATCTTGCTATGTAGCCCAGGGTGTCCTCATACGTCTGATACTCCTGCCTCAGTGTCCAAGTACTGGGATTACATATGCGCAATTACAGCAAATACTGTGTTGTGCATTAGAAAATAATGACAAGGAAAAGAAAATGTCTGTACATACTCAGTTTAGATAAAAATTTCCCCAAATACTTTTGCTCTAAGAGTAGTTGAATTCATGGATATGGTGCTATATATGGTGGGCTAATGACACTTAAGTTCTGGAGCCTGAGGACATGCTAGAATTAGTTGAATTAGAAGGAGAAATCAGTGGAATGCTGGGCCTGTGTAAAACCCATTGAAGAACAGGAAGAAGATGGGGAACAAAAATGTCTAGAGCTAGACATGCAAAAAACGGCCTAACCTACGGAAGGAAGGAAGTATAAACAGGAAAGAGTTAACATATGAAAGTAATTGATAGGATTTGGTAAG